TCCCCCCTCCCCCTCGTTCCCACCCCTTCCTCAGGCCTTCACCCCGTTATTGACTGTGTCCATGGGTTATGCTTATATGCATATAACTTCTTTTGATCACCCATTCTTAAAAGCATTGTAGTAAGCGGTTCTCTGAGGACAGTGCAGGTGGTAACTAATGGCTAATAATACTCAAGAGAGAGCCATCAGCAAAGACTGCCAAATGCCCATGATGCCTTAGGGTGTATTCAGACTATTACCTAGAGATGCTAGAAAAATGCAAGTCTGTCAGTTTCCAGAAAATGTGCCTGTTGCTTTTCCCTTCCGAGTCAGCCATCTACCCTGTCCAGCACGCCCATCAGACTTTCTGCGACGATGGAAATATTTTCTATTTACTCTCCCATTCATGGCTGTTGAGCACTTGAAATTCGTGAACTAAATTTTACACCTGACTTCATCTTAATTAATTGAAATGTCTCTGTAAACAGCCAACATGTGGCCAGTGGCCATCATATTGGACAGCACAGCTCTGGCCAATTCAAACCCCCTCAAAGCAACTGCATGCAAGTGAGGTTGGGAAAGTAGTAGAACATAAATGAACTAATTAGTCAGTCTTTATGTTCAAAACTATTTTTCTCTCTCTTTTTTCTTCAAGTTGGAAGAAGTGGCTAAAATCAAGGTCTGAAGTGAAAGATTATAAAAAAATAAGAACAGTTTCCCCACCTTCCTGTACGATTTCCCTCCATTTTTACGGGTATTAAACTGAGATGGCATCTAAACTCATTAACAAAAACGCTAAACTAGACTACTTTAGTCTATAGAACAACACTCCTATACAAGGCTGAGAAAGAACCAGCAAGATCAGGTTCAAGAGAAACATCAGCCCCACTCTGTACCATTCTCCGATCGCCTCTGGGGAGACCTACAGGCAGGAGCCAAGTGCAGGTTCCTTTGTCTGCTACGCGGCCCCAGCCCCACTTACCTCTGCTGCTCCCACTCCACTCCCCTCCCCCAACTAGACAAGTCAACTGATAACCAAAGACTCAAAATCACAGGCCAAGTGAAGTCTCCTGTTCCCTCCAGACGTAAGGCGTCTTTCTGTTTTACCCCTTTCATGTAAACTCTGTGGCAGGAAACTCCGCAGAACATAATACTTGAAGCCCTGAGACCTTAACCTTCCCGCCTTCCTGAAACATTCCCACGGCCCCAAGAGGGGTCTCAACAAACAGTGGCTGTTCTCCCGAATCTATGTCTTCACCCCTGAGGTGAACTTACTCAAACTCTACATGGTATAAAGAATTTATTCTTCCTTGCACTTAGCTTATTATTGACCTGTCTTTTGTATCTTTTTTTTTTTCCCCCCTGAACAGTGCATTTCTCAGGTATTCTGAGCTCTAATAGTGGAACAGGGGTTCAGCCCCTGTAATTCTCCCTGTGCACGACCCAGCACAGCATCAGAGGCAATCGGGGACTTGACCAACGCTTCGTGATAATGCATAAAAGACTATTAGACTCTGTGGGACTTTTACAGCTCGGGGATTTTAAGGTACATCTTTCAGTTCAATATATTCCAGGAAAACAATGTATCTTTTGCCCTCCTACTATTTGTTGAGGGGCATGGATTGGGCTTGGTTCTTTCAGGGAAGGACTTCAGCATGGGACATGTATTTTTCAGGTTGATGTCATGATTATGTGAGGGTTAATAATCAGCCAGCAGCTGCATGACTGGCACGGGAGGAAGAAAGCAAGCATGATAGGTACATTATTGGTTGCTGTTTTCTGAACAGTGAAATGGAAAGGGAATAACAATCTTTGTTCATGAAATAATCATAGTGCCCTGCTAAAGACCAGTGAACATGACTACCAGGCCTGTGTGAGGAACTTGCTGTTTATTGAAGTTGGGAACAGGGTGACAAAACAGCTTATCACAGCTGCACTCCCTCCGTCCCCACTGTGTCCTAGTGCCTCTCCCCGCATGCATCTTTTCTAAGGAGGTTATTTTGAAATAGAAAGCTACTCATTCTGCTCCCAACTGCATCCTTAACTGAAAGATTGAAGTGTACATAAATAGAAATTTAATTAAAATTTAAGGTTAAACTAGCAATAAAAATGCTCCCTCTTTTCCGGATTAAAAAGTCTACAACAAACAATAAAGCAAAGCCAGGTGTTTGGATTGGCTGCATCAGCATCACCTGGGAACTTGTTAGAGATGTAAATTCTTGGGCCGCACCCCAGACCTACCGGGAGCAGGATCTTTGGGGGTGGGGCCCAGCAAATGAGTTGTAGAAAAACCTCCACGTGACTCTGCACTAACATTTGACAGCAACTGCTTTAAACCAGTGTTGAAATCATCCAAACTATTCTTTTCAATGTTGTAATAAAGTGTACTAAATGAGTATTCCTGAAATGTCAGGTGTTTCCCAATTCCAGAAATAAGGTCTGACCAAGCACTAAACAAGTCCAGCCAGGAATCCCTAGCTCTGAGTCCTAACTCATCTGCACGACATGCCACCTGGGATCTGATCAACCTCCCCAGGAGGCTTCTGGGTGCCGAGCTGGGCAGGTGCTTCTGAGCTGAGTGTCTAGTGCTCATCTGCTTCACGATGGGAGGTGCAGGGGTTGGGAGGGGCATGAAAAGGGGAACAGTGACACTAGAAATCTATGAATTTTCCATCAATTTTAATCATTCTTTTTTTTTTTTGAAGGGAGGAAATATTTAGTACCTTTCCATCACTATTTCACAATTAACAATCAAAAGAAAGACAGTACTTATAAAATTTTTTAGAATAGGGCATCTTTGCAAATAACTGCTTGTCAGCTGCACTCGGGCGTGCATCCTTCACGGTGATTACGGTGATGACGGAGTATAGCGCCTAGACAATTCACTGCTGACGTGCGTCTGTATTCTTCTTGCCCAGATCTTTGACCCCCAAACGCAATGGTTCTTAACTAGTATCTTCTAGTCACAGACATTCCAGCTTTACCTGACCGTTTCCTATTCTACCGTAATTACCACCCAGATTGTAAAGGGAATTATTAAGACTTTTTGTCCAAATGATTCAAAGACTTTCAAATTTCTGTCTGACAACACAGTTTGCTCATGTAACCTAGTTTTTGTGTGCCCCAAGAACACAAGGACAAAAAGTCAAAGCACCAGATGCACAATTGCATTTTATGATATTTTTCGTCACGAGAAAAACCTCCATTCTAAGAAAAATGGAAATGTAAACTCTCCTCAGTAACTTTTCTCACTTTAAATCACACCTCTCATCACGACCTATTACACCCACACAGTCATGTGCCACAGGCATTGCACGCTCTCTCCAACATTTCAAAGGCTCAAAAGCTATTTTTAAAGCCAAAATGCAATCTAGGTTGCTATTCTATTAAGCAATTTTAAAGGAAGAACAAAGTAACAGAGTGATTTTTATGCATGTGGACAGTTAGCCAACTCACCAAAGGACTGAATGCAGCTATCGATGAGATCGTCCAGGCTGGCTCCTTTGGCCAAATGTCCCAGAGACACCATCATCCGGAACTGGGGGATCTGGGCCAGGCTGGGATGGGAAGGGAAGGGGCTGCTGGCTGGCTTCGCCTCTAGTTTTGCTTTAGGGGCAGCTCTGCAGCCATGGGAAGGTTTCCTGAGGAGAGAGAGGAGGCAGTGAGTGCAAGCAGAGCGGCCAGGGGACTGGCAAACTGGCAGCTCCACGCTCTGAAGGCAGATTGGAGAGGAAAGGAGTAGAGATAAGACAATTAATCCCGGGAGTTGGGCTGATAGAAGATACACCCCTCCCACTTGGCAAATGCACCAAACGGACTGGTTGGCTGTTAAAGAGACATCTCCCAAGCAAATAACAAGGTGAGATTTCAGGGTTGCAACTAGGGCTTGTCCTCCTGAGGTTTGGATTGCTTTGGCCTGCGGTCTCCATTTCCTGAAGGGGAGAGGCAGAGGCAGGACTACCTTGGCAGTCTTCGGCTCTTAGCAATAATTTTTCATTTTAGCTTCCAGGCCACTGGCTTGAGTCTTAGGAAATGAGTTTCAGGTGGTCTCATCTTCGGCTAACTTCATTCATCTTGAACAACACCAGAGATGCTGTAGCAGCCCAGATGGCCTCAGAAACATCTTTAAGGACTTTGGGGGGAAAATCAAAGACTGAGGACCCTTGTGTGCAGGGGAAGAGAGGTGAGGATGGTGGTATTTAGATTTTAAGCTATTCCTGCCTTTCTCATAAGTCTTGGTGGGTTTTAAGATTCTGTTTTTCATCACTGATAATACAGGTAATCATTACGAGTCATTTTTATTATTAAACATCATTCCATTGAGTCTGTATTTGGATGCTTACCTATTGGGGGAGGGAGGCAGAGCTCATGAGAACTTTATTCCAGAGCTAAATCCACAATAGGCCTGGACATGGAAAGGCTTAGGAGTCCTATAGGTCACCTCTGTCCATTCTTGCCTGGCTTTACCTTTGGTCATGACCTCTCAGTGTAAGTCATGTTGTTTGCAAAATGATACATGAAGGTGAATTAAGCGTTTTATTTTTCCTTCCATTAAAAAACGTAAACACACAGAGGCACGTTTCATCTTTGAATGTTCACCAGTGATGAGTGCTGTTACTGGAAACTTCTTTCAGCATATCGTTAACTGTCCTCTCCCTACTGTGGTCTACTTATTTCATAGTTTACAAAGAGAAGGCAAGAAAAAAAAGGAAAAAGAAATATACCTCAGAGCCATAACTTTAGCTACTCACTATATGTTCTGATAAACACATGATGGAATCAATTAATCAATCAGTGCTTATACCATGGGTGAGACATCGTGATAGGTCAGAGAAGAGTAGCAGGACAGCCTATGTGAGGGCACTTTGTAAACTGTAAAATGTACTAATTATATGTTAGCTGCTGTCGTACACAGGTCATTTATAAGCTCTTTCATACAAAAATCTAGTTGGAGAATCAGACCCAGACCATGGAAAGATAACTCTATCAATCCTAAGCATCCCGTGAGCGTCAAGGTAAGGGGTGTGATGTTCTCAGAGAAGGGAGAACCAGCTGCAGGTGGAGGGCTGGGGGAAGTTTCTCTGACAAGGCATACCCAGAAGGGGCTGAAGTGCTGAGAGCAAAATAAAATGCTGGAGCACTACTCATAACTTGGGAAACCAGCCTGTGAAAAGACTACTGAACTATGGGGCCATTCAGTACACAGCCAGACTTGTGGAGGGAACACCCTGCCCTTTGAGGGAGGTGCATTTCAGAATAGCTCCAGGGTGCTGGGCTGGTGGTGGCTGCTGGGCCCTGTTCTGACCTAGGGTGGTCCCAACGAAATTGAATCAGTAACTGGCTATCAGGAATCTGCTAACCTGAGGCAGTGATTTCTGAAAGGTCAAGTTGATGTTATAGGACTTTCCGGCCATTACTGATTTTTGCCCAGGGCCTGCGATAGCCCTGGGATCAGATCAGTATCTGAAAATGAGAGAAAATAATGGCCACCATGAATCCAGTACCTATGACAAGGCAGGCACTGTGCTGGGGATTTACATGGTCTTTAAAGCTTACACCCCAGAAAGATGTTATCTCCATTTTGTGATGTTGAAACTGAGTCTAAAAGAGCCTAAATGACATAGCCAAGTACAGCTCATAAGTGCTAGATCTGGAATTTGTACTGGGCACCTCTCTGGCTCTATTTGCTTAATATTTACTGTGCACTTTTCACTATATCAGGATTAGCAAGAGAGACTGAAAAGGTCAATTTAACTTAAGGCAAAAGTAACATCCTCCTAAAGCATAACTGATTACATAAAGGCTGAATCTCAGGCCCTATTCCTTCTGCATGTCCCCTGAACAGTCCTTAGACCCCAGGCTGCATGGGCTCTTCATGGTCATCTTCTAAGCCCTTTACCTTGAGGTGTGGAGGTCCAGGCTTAGAAGTGCAACGGGACCAGCCACCAATGCAGAGATGGGTATAAGTCAGGCCTCCTGTGCCCATGCCTTGCTCCCCACCTGGAGCTCCCTCCCCTTCCAGGAAGCACTGACAATCTCTAAACCTGGGGCTGGTTGTTGGGTGTTGGGATTAATCAGCTTTCTGCCTTTTTACCATTAAGATCTTCACCTGAGGCAGAGTTGGGAAAGAGAAAAATAAAGTCCTTCTCAGTACAAATCTCTTTTTCTCTTACGTCTTCCATAGTACTTCTCCCTGGACCCTGGAGAAGAGGCACCTGCAACCAGAGGCTGAGCCTCCACAAGCAGCTCTTCCCTCTGGGGCTGGGAGGTGCCTACCTCAGTCTCTCAGCTGGAAGATACAAGGAAAATTCTACTTTCTCTCTCAGTTGGAGGCAGTGGCCACTGAGGACTCTGAAAACTGCCCTGGTTCTAATTCTAGTAGTGGTTCCTTGTGTCAGCAGTAGCGGAAACCACTTTGGTTCATAAGGTGAGATACTTTTACCAGAACTAGGAGGGACTGGGGGTGTCAAGTAAAAAGAAAGAACTTGAAGGGGGTATTTGAGGGTGGTGGTAAAAGATTCAACCTGAGAACTAGAGAGCCCAGAGAGACTCAAGGGCTGGAGCATGAGAAACCAAGGAAGAAAAACTACTAGAAACCAAATTGCCACCTGAGAGGTCAAGGAAGATGGGGGTTATCTGAACCATCACCCAGAAACCTCAGCTCTTCTGCTGTGCAGTTTTGTGACTGGCTGCTTTGTGACAAACCTTCAAAACTCTCTCTTCTGGTGAAATGGCTGCAGATAAGGTTTTATAAAATACTTCACTGCAGGCAGGTCTTGAAGGTGTTTTAACCCATAGAACTAATAGCCCCTAGCCTTCAAAGGCATACCTTAAAAGGACAGTAGCCAGTTCCCTTGTGAATTAAAAACAAAACAACAACAAAAAACACACACCAAAAAAAAACCCCTGAGAGAAACAATTAACTTGAAGGTGTTTTCTGAGGCCAAAATTGGCTAAGGCTCCATTAAGTTTGCTGAAGGAGATTGTCAACACTTGGATCTGGTTCAAGTGAAATCCTCTCTCAGCACAGGTTACACCTCAGTGGAGGCCACAATTTAAGGTTCAACTTTTTATGGAAACTTCCATGGTTTTCTTTGCAGTGGAAGGTAGCTTTTATTGGCTTCTAGTGAGGATTCCTTCCAGTCCTGTCCATTCCCCACTTGCAGAATAACTCAGTTTAACGTACTGAAGCCCCTCCCCTCAGTCAAGTGCAACTAGCGTTGGACCCTCAGGGATACAGGGCCGGGTGCATACAGGGCCAAGCACCTTTAGCTCTAGAAAGTCCAGCAGGGCAAAGCTGCCTGCCTCTTCTGGGCCTGCTTGTGCAGGCTGGGCACGGCGCAGTCCCATCAGAGTCCTGTGGATGGAGGAGGGAAGTGCACAAGGGGCCCAGCCTTATGCTGAGCCCAGACTGCCCTCCAGGCAGTTGTCCGGTTCGGGCCTTTTGGGGGACAAACTCAAAGTTGCCTGGCCCCTCCAGGCCTCTTTCTTCAGACAAGAGCTTTTTCACTGACTGTCACTCTTCATTTTATGTCACCCCAAGACCCCTTTAAAACATCTCTCTGGAATCACAGAGGGGTGGAGGGGAATACGGGTTTCCATCCAGAGTTGATATGGTTGGATGACCTCTGCTCGTTCGCTGCAAGAGCAGCTGGCTTTTCTGGGCGCTCCCGAGATCTGCAGGGCCGCCAGGTGGCGCTGTCAGAAGCCGGCGCCCGCAGCAGGTGCGGGTGACCCGGAAAGTCCGCGAGTGGGAGTCCCAGGTGCGTGGCGGCCAGGTGCCGGGGGAGGAGGTCGGTCACTGCAACTCCGGAGCTCGCCGGGCGAACTCTGGCCGTGCGGACCGCGTAACCCAGCTCCCTCCCCCGCTTCCCGGGCGCGACGCGCTGGGCGCTCCGGGCGTGTCCGTCCCTCGGGCTTCTGTCCAGTGCGCGCGTCTCCCCACACTTCAGACCCAGCCTGTCGCTCCCAGGAGCGGCCGGCAACTTCCCAAATAGGAGGCGTCCCTGTCCGCCCCACGTTCTACCCCCGAGAGGCCTCAGGGGGCTGCCCACACCCCGGTCCCCGCCCCGAGGAAGGACACTGGCGCTCCCCAGGGCCTGGGCCCCTACTCACCGCGGAGCCTCTCTCGCCTTGCCCAGGGTGCCCATGGTCGCGGCCGCGCTCGTGGAGCCGCTTCCCCTAGCGCGGCGACTCGGGCTCCGCGGGGCGCAT